TCCAACTCGCTTATTTTGCTTATTCTCTCCCCTAATGTTGAAAAAACTATTTCATCGAAATGACGAGTCGATAAATCGTGCTCGTAAAATTTTTTTCTTATTCATGAATCAAGAGATTAAATTATCGAAGAGGATTCATATATTCCCAATCTCTTTTAAGTGCTAATTTTATTTCATTATAGATTAGCACTAAGGATATACACTCGTAATGCTAAAAATTCTTAAACAAGAAATAATTGACTCATGACCATAAATCAATTAAAGAGGAGAGAATTTCGATAACTCATGGGTCATATGCGAATAAGTGTTGTTGCATGTAAGATTGTATGTCCTCAAATATAAACAGAGAGTTTTATTTTTAAATAACGGTTTAGCTATCAATTCGAGCCTTTTGATAAATGATTTTGCTAAACCTTTTTTAGTATGAACATAAGCAACATGATGTTCAATAGCCAATCAATAATAATTTAATGCTTGAGAAATAAATTCATCAGCATTATCAAGGTGACTTGTTTTAATGGCATAATTTGAAAATTATGCTCAAAATCAAATTATTTGCTAGCAATCTCGAAAACGTCGGGTTTCGAGTAGATAATAAGCATATATGTGACCATCTTGTGGACGCATTTATCAAAATTGTAAAATATTTAAATGATCCACATGGTGGATGAATTAATCCACATATATCACCTTGAACATATTCTAAAATACTGGAGATTCAATCTCAATTTTACTTGATGATGGCTTAATCATCAATTTTCCTTGGCAACATGCAAGCACATGAAAGTTCATTAAATTGAAGAATCTTCCGGCTCTTCAATAGATATCCATATGAATTTTTAATAATTTTTCACATCATGAAAGACCCAAAATAGCATAACTGGTCATGTCACATAATAAAAGTATTTGAATTAGTAAACTTCTAGTTTACTACAATATTTGTTTCAATCATTTCAATGTTTGTAATAAATACTAGAAGAGAAAACGGATAAAATTTTTTTTTATAGATATTTTCTACCCGATGTAATGATTATAACATATAAGTATTCACATTTGCTATATTGATATGATATCAAATCAGATGAGTATCTTTGAAACTCAACAAATTTCTATGAGACTTTGAAGAGAATAGTACATCATTTATAATAAATTTATCCTTTCGGATAATAACATATTTGCTCTTCCGGAGCCTTTAAATTAGTCACTTCAAGTAATAATATATCGACTCTTCTAGAGCCTTTAAAAATTTTCTCTTCAAGTAATAATTTATTTACTCTTCTAGAGCTTCAAAAATTTATCTCTTCAAGTCATGATATAATCGCTCTTCCGGAGCCTTCAAAATCTATCTCTTTAAATAATAATATAGTCGCTCTTTTAGAGCTTTCTATTATATTGATATTATCATATATAATATTAACATAAAATAAATAATCAAATAAATCAATACAAAATAAATAAATCAATATATGCCTCATAAACATAAACAAAATAAATAAATAGTAAAATAAATTTGTAACCATCAAAATACGACATAAATTATAATAAATATAAAATATTTTATTTATAGATAGAAAAACTAACAAATAATTAATTTCAATTACTATTACTTTGATATATAAAAGTGGCATTCATGTTTTACTCTTTATTTTTCAATAAGGCTTGACAAGGCTCAATGAGGTGCTTTGGTGTATGGCAGGTACACGATCAATATTCATTCATTCCACATCTATAATATTTATTTTTCAGAATACCGACTTTATCTATTTTTATTATTATTATTTTTTTCATAGTTATCCACTTCGGTGGTGAAATGTAATATTATGGTCATTACAATTATAATGATAATTATTTTGACAACATCCATGGCTATGATTACATCCTCGTCCATGTCTAAAATTATTATAAATTGTCACATTCACTTCGTGGAATGGAATAGATCCAATTGGACGAGATTTATTCTTTTTCATCAATAGCTTTTCATTTTATTTATCCATGAGCAAATATGAAATCGATTCAGAATATTTCTTAAACTCTTTTTCTTGATATGCTACTACGGGAGCATATTTGAGGCATGAAAAGTAGATGATCTTGATATGCTACTGCAGGAGCATATTCGAGGCATGAAAAGTAGATGATATTAACTTAGCATCAAGCACTCATGATCAATAATTCTTACCCAAAATGTCAAGGGCCACAAAATCAAGTTTTGTGATGGTTGATAAGATATCATTAAAATTGTATAATGCAAAGTATAATAATAATGTTAGGAAATAAAGATAAAATATAATAATAAAATTTAAATAAATATAAATATAATAATAAAATTTGAACTTTTCAAATAATATATATTAAATTATTACATTCTATATATTAAATTATTAAAATTTTTCAAATATATATTTTATGTATCATTAAATTTAAAATACATAATAAATTAGATACATACCTCTTAATGATCTAGATAATAATTTAGATCCAATCGGTAAAGCACTTGTGCAAAAGAAATCCAATGGTTGAAACAATTGATTAAGTATTTTGATAGATACATACCTCATGGTCTATTATCTCGATTGGTTAGAACTTCGTGCCGATAACGTGTTATAAAATAAATAGAAATAATAGGAGAATTGAAGGAAAAGATGATAAGAAAATGAAATCACTATAATGTGGATACAAGTGATAAGAACTTCAAAGTTTCTCTTATTCTCTCTAGAAAACTTGTACCCTAACTAATGAATAATCAAGCCTATTTATAGGCTTCAAAATTGAGGAGAGAATTGGAAGGGACTATGAATAATCAATTGCATCGCTCTTTCAATTTCTCATATTGAATGATGAATTGAATCATATTAAGAATCATGAGTAGTGGAGATATGAAAAGTGGATGAACATGATGATGGACATTCATTATTTCATAACACTCTCATAATTATTTTTAGATTTGTTTTCATAATTTTTTTATAATTTTGAAAATCGTGTGGATTTCTCATGAATATTTATTATTATTATTATTATTATAGTTTAAATTCTCATTTCTATTTTATCATAAATGCCAAAAGAAAAAAAGAAAAGAAACGAACAAGGAACATAAGATACAAAAAGAAAAGCATTAATTTTGGATTTTTAGGGTTTTAATTGTAATTAATTTAAAAGATTTGTGGATCAATACAATAATATAAAAAAATTTAGGGGAAGCAATTGAGAGAAATGGGAGGCGAGTTAGTAAAAATTAAGACAAGAAGGACTAAAATTATCTAAATGAAGGGGTGCAATTAAAGAAAAATCAAAACATAGAAGGTTGAAATTTGAAGGAAGAGCAAAGGACAAGGACGAACTTAGACGTTCATCCCAAATGACGTGTTATATTTCATCCCTTTTCTTTCTTCAAATCTCATCGCTAGCTATTGTCATTCCTTTCCCGCAACAAGCAAACCTATAGTGATGTGGGAGAAGGAAAACAAAGGAAAAAGGACTTGAATGTCCCGAAAACCAAGACAAACTTCGTAGCTTGGCACCTCCTCCTTAATTCCTTTCCCTCATACCGACTCTCCTCCACTAGGCCATGCCTTGGTCTTACACTCGTTAACCCTCACTATGGTCTCCACTACAAAGAAGAAACAAAAGGTTTAATATACCTTGTGCCTATGTATTTTAACAAAATTATGTTATAGTCTCTATACCTAAATATAGTCCATAACGGACCTTATGCTATTGGGAGTTAGTGTAAAATAACCCTTTTGTTATCTTTTTCTATTAGTTTAACTAACTTTCATTACTTGACTTACGAATGATCAATACAATATCGACACATGTCAATTTAGGAGTGAAAACATAATTTTGTTTTTCTTGACTTAGTTAGTAGTTAAAATCACTTTAAAACGATTTTAAATTGAAAAAAAGAAAAGAAAAAAAAATAGTCTTAACCATGGTTTGCTTTATCTAGTAGTTGAACACGGATAGAAAAGGAATCTATGAAAACTAAACAATTATCCTAAAAAATAACTAATTTTGTCATCTTCTTTGTCATTGAGCGTTCTTTGTCCGTCTCTTCGTCTTCTTTTCTTCTTCTCTAAGTTGTCTTTTGATCTTCCTAATCATCATTATCTTCTTTTTCTTCTCTTCGTCTTCTTTGTATTCTTCGTCCGTCTTTCCGTCTTCCATTTTCTTTCCCTCTCTCTTTGTCTCTCCGTAACTCTTCAACTATCTATCGGTCTTCATCTATTAAAACTAGGGTTTGCTTGTTGTAGTCTCTCGTTCTCTAAAAAATTATAGTGTTTATTTTTCTTCTTTAACTTTCTATTAGTCTTCATTTCTCTATCCCTCGTGTCTCTCAAAAAATTATCCTTTACACTCTAATGCAAGCATTATCTTAGGGATTTTATGCAAGTGTGACCCCAAGAATAGAATAGAAAATTGTCTTTTTCTTTGGGATATGTCCTCGAGGTAACCAAGTCATACTATTTTTTAGTATATGTTTCTTTTTCTTTTTTTTTTTAATTACATGTGGTCCATTCATACCAAGAATATTATTTTTCTTTATGTAGGGTATGCTCAAAGATGTCAAGAATTTTAACTTTTATATTGAAAAGGAGTTCAATAGGTCAATAGTTTAGAATAAATGAGGGGTGACTTAGTAGAAAAGGTAGTTGACCTAGACAAATTGTGTTTTGAAGGCTTGTTGGGACCGTGTATGGATATATGTTATTTTAATGTTGGTAAACTATATTATACAATGGTAGAAAGTGGTTTCACAATAGACCATAAATTAAGGACAATTAGTGAGTCGTATAATTCTTATGCTAGAGAGATTATAATTTACTTATTTAGGGTTCAAATTCATGTCGAACATAATGAGAGAGACCACCCATTTTTGTTTGGTCGGATGCCAAGGGTCGTGTGTGCTAGTTAGGGTATTAATGATAAGGGTTAGTGGGTTGGTCCATAAAGTCTAGGAGAGAGTAATTGCATTAATTGGGACTAGGCTATTATGACTCTAGAATATGATGTTAGTGATGGTAGTAATGTTGTGGGTGGTTCAATTGAGGATAAGGAAAGTGATTAATCAAGTGAGGGTAATATGGATAGTAGTTGTTATGCTAAGGACAATATAGGTAGTGGTGGTGGTGGTACTATTGAGGGCGAGTGTAGGAATTGGTGGTACTTGTGAGGATAATATAGGTCATATTGGTGCTTGTGAGGGCGGTATGGGTAGTGGTGGTGCTACTAAGGGTAATGTGGGCGGTGGTGGTGATGTGGAGGATAATGTGGGTAGTGGTGGTGTCGGAATTTATTAGGGAAATGTGGGCAGAGGTGGTGTTGTTGAAGGCAATATGGGCAGTGGTAGTGCTAATGCTTGTGAGGGCAATGTAGGTAGTGGTGGTGTTGTCGAGAGTAATGTGGGCGATGGTGGTGATGCCGAGGGCAACATGGGTAGTGGTGGCCATGGTGCAAACAATGTAGGTAGTGCTGATGATAACATAGGGAAAATGAAAAAGATATTGAGGAGATAGAGTATTGAGTTGATTTTGATTATTTAAGTGATGATAATGATAAAGAGTGCAGAGAGATAAAGAAGAAGGCAACTAAGTTTTTACTAGGAACGATGGCTAGTAAAGAGGGAGTTGTACGGGGTTAGGGTTAGTGATATAGGAGGGAATGCATCTACTATTATTGCAGTGGTGGGTTAAGGAAATGATGAACATAAACAAGAAAATGATGATAAGTGATGTACTATTCATGTAGAAAAAAATCTAAAATTATGAGAAAAAGATAAATAGAAAATGAAAAAAATAGAAAAAGAAGGAGAAAAGGAAAAGATGATGATTATTATTATTATTATAAGTATATTGTTAATATAGAGGGCAAGAAGACAAATTACAAACATGATGATAATTTCAGTTAGATCAACACCAAAGATGAGAATGATGTAGAAACTAGTATAAGAGTAAAATCAAAGAAAATTTACTTCAATCCTAATGAGGAGAAACCCTTCTTTCATCCGGGAATGATTTTTCCAAATAAGAGGATATTTAGATATGTAGTTATAAAGCATGGTATAATAGACTATAGAAACCTAAAATTTGAGAAGAGTGATCTAGATAGATATAGGCTTATATACAAAGAAGATACTTATAAGTGGGTGATTTTATGTTCTCCCCATTTAGTTACTGAAAATTAGGTTATGAAAATTTATAATGATGAGCACAAATGTATTCAAACCTTACGCAATAGGTTGGTCAATTACAAGGTAATTGTTGAGCACTTTAAAAAGAGAGGGATTAGAGTAAAAAAATGCATGTTTTTGAATTGATGGATGAAACTTTGAAATAGGTACATTGTACTCGTCGGTCTTTCTAAATGCAAGAATAGTTTGAGGTTGTTGAAAAGTATGTTGTTTAGTGAAGTTGATGATGAATTTCAAAGATTGAAGGATTATCCTTCAAAAATTAGAAAAAACAATAAAAGTAGTATTGTTGTCATACAAACGAGATGATAAATATTTCAAAAGAACATATGTTGGTTTTAATGCAATGATTAGGGGATTTAAGCATGGATGTAGAAATTAATTGGGTTTGATGGTGGTTTCTTAAAAGGTCCTCTTAAAGGAGAGATTTTATGTAATGTTGGTCAACATGCTAATAACCAAAATGTTTCCTATTGTTTGGGCTATTGTGAGATGGGAGAGTATGAAAACTTGAAAGTTTTTTTATCATTTAGTTGATGGTTGATTTGGAAATTAGAATGGAAACTAGAAAAGGATATACCTTAATTTTTTATGGTCATAAGGTATTAATATTGTCTTTTTGTTTACAAATGATGGTGTTTGTTTACTACTTTGATTGGTTGTTTAATACTTTGTTTCCACTTTTCATTTTGTAGGTTTTGATTGGAGCAATTCATAAGCTAATGCCATATGCTAAGCATAGAAGGTGTGGAACACATATCCTTGCAAATGGAGGAAAACCAACAAAGGTACTACTTTATATAAGCAATATTAGACAATGTGTAGAGCAAGTACACAATAGATTTTGAAGAATAGTTGAAGAAACTTGGTGGGACTACAAAAAAGAATTTATGGAAATAGACCTAACTTTTTAGTTAAAAAGCCTTTTTCAAAACATATTACAAGTTTGATATAGTTGATAACAACTTATGTGAGACTTTCAATGCTTTTATAATGGAGTCAAGGTTCAAAAGTATTATTTCATGCCTTAAAACCATTAGACATCTAGTAATGGCTAGAAATGTTGAGAGGAGGAATAAGTATGCAAAGAAGATTGGTCTAAGAATATGAGAGAAGATCAAAGATGTACGAAGGAATTCTAGAGATGCAAGATAATACACAATGACTATAATGGATATGAAGTGAATGACTTGGATAACATTTATGTTGTTAACTTGGAAAAACATTAATGCACCTATAGAAAATAAGACCTAACTCGGGAGACCATGTAGCCATGAAATGGTTATTATCGAGCCTTAAAACTGAATGAGGTTGAGTATCTTAATGAATGCTATAAGTTAGAAAAACTCAAGAAGAGTTATAAGCATTGCATTCAATCGATGTAAAGTAAGAAATTTTATTCTAAAAATGGGAATGAGGTTGTTCTTGCATTAATTATTAAAACTAAAAGAGGCAAATAAAAACAAGTAATGGTAGCTTAACTCGGAGATGTTCTAGCTAGCCATGATACTAATATGGTCGATGATGTTGAGAATGTAGTTGGTGGTGGAGATGTAGGCGAGTGGACATGATGATGTTGTCCATGGTGATGCCGTTAGTAATGTAGGTAATGGACATGATGTTGTTGATACTATTGCTAGAGATATGGGCAAACAGAGTGTCGCAGGGTGACGATGGATGGTGAGATAAAATATAGGGCAAATGATTGGAGTCGCCACCTAGTATTATGGTTACTAGGAAATCTCATGACTGGTCCGTTTAGAGTTTCGAGTAAGAGGTTTATTACGTGTAGGGAAGACCAAAGTCACCCTACCTCGTCTTGCCTAAGGCAAGCCGCATTGCATACAATCTTAATTTAACTTCGGATGAAAGTGTCCCCTTTGTCGAGTGATTCGGGACATGGTCGATCGAAGACCTTGTCCTCACTCCGTAATAAATGGCTAAAAATGATGAACATGAAAATATGCCGCTAATGTGGCTCAAACGACATGCATGACAAACAAAACTTAAAATGGGCAAATAGGCAAAAAAACATTACAAGCAAAATGACAAAATAGGCAACACGAGATAGAAATAGGCAAATAATGACAAAATAGACAAATTGGCAAATAGGCAAAAATCAACAAACACACAAATTGGTAAAATCAATAAATAGGCAAATAGACAATTAGATAAAAATCGACAAATAGGCATAATAGGCAATCACGAGCGTAAATAGCCAAACTTAGGCAATCACAGGCAAAAATAGGCTAAAATCGGCTATATAAGCAAAAATAGATAAAAATCGACAATTGAGGCAAAAATAGGCAAACTTAGTCAAAATAAGCAATCATAGAAAGAAATATGCAAACTTAGGCAATCATAGGCAAAAATAGGCTAAAATCGACTACATAGGCAAAAATGAGCAAAAATCGACAACTTAGACAAAAATAGGCAAACTTAGGCAAAATAGGCAATCATAGGTAGAAATAGGTAAACTTAGGCAATCATAGGCAGTAAATAGGCTAAAATCGACTAAATAAGCAAAAATGGGCAAAAATCAACAACTTAGGCAAAAATAGGCAAACTTAGGCAAAATAGGCAATCATAAGCAAAAATAGACAAACCTAGGCAATCATAGGTAAAAATAGGCTAAAATCGACTACATAAGCAAAAATCGACAACTTAGGCAAAAATAGGCAATAAAAACGAAAGCCACGACTTTGGCCAAAATTGGAACGAAAAATAAAAGTCACTGCTTTGGTTAAAATCGGCAAAAAAAAAAAATGAAAGCCACGACTTTGGCCAAAATTGACAACAAAAACGAAAGCCAAAGCTTTGGTTAAAATCGACAACGAAAAACGAAAGTGACAACTTTGGCCAAAATCGACAACGAAAGATGAAAGCTATAATAAACCAAAGTCGACAACAAAAAACAAAGCGATGGCTTTGGCCAAAATCGACAACGAAATCGCAAATTCGCGGCTTTAGACAAAAGTAGGCTAAAATCACCAAAACAAACACACATAGGCAAAAATTGACAAGAAATGACAATGGGACTAAAATAAGAGAAAACGCACAAAATCGGTAAAATTAATTACTTTAGCATGCATAACAAGAATAGAATTACATGGCAACATTTCAAACTTTAATGACTCGATTTTTTTATACAAGTTATCATGCAAGATGCAATTTTAAAATATGCATTCAAATACCAACAAATATCAACACGTTTAAACCAACGCATCATTCCAATCATATCGTAAAAAAATCAAAAGTGCACATCATTGCAATTCAAACGGATTACACATGAATAAACAAATCAAATTACATCACATTCATTCAATTAATTACATGACATATATAACATGAAGTAAAGTTAATACATGTAAACAATAATAATAATAATAATAAAAGAAAATAAAGCAAAAAAAATTAAAAAAAATTAATATATAGAAGAAAAAGAGACGAGCTGATTTGCTTGATGATCTCGAGGTTAGATCCGACCTTTTTGACCCCGATGGAGACTAATATTTAGTCAACCCGGGAGCAAAGGTGGTCGCTGGTGCGTTGGGGAGGTGTTGGTTAGGGCGAGGTAAGCTCGGTGGTCGGTCGGTCGGCGCCGGCACGCGCTAGGTACCGACGCTCGACGCTAAGCGCCGGGCACTAGCATTGGCACCGGGCATTGGCGCCGACGTTGGTTGGCCTAGGCGCTCGGCGCTAAGGGTCGGGTGTTGGTGCTAGCGCAACTTGGTGTTGGCGCCGATCGTCGGTTGGCTCGAGGGTTCGATGCTAGCGTGCATTGGGCGCCGGTGCCGGCACCGACGTTGGTTGGCCCGAGTGCTAGGTGTTGGTGCCGACACCGATGCTGGTTGGCTCGGGCGCCGGGTGCTAGACACCGGTTGGCTCGACTACGGCGCCGGGCGTTAGTACTAGTGTTCGCCGGATGCCGGCGCCGACGCCGGTCGGCCCGGGCGTTGGGTGCTCGGCGAGGAGGCCTGCAGGAGGGCGGCCGGGCGTGCTGGAGTCTACCGCTAGAGGCGTTGATAGAGACCTGAGGGGAGGCTCGCGGGCCGCTAGAGGAGGTTGTGGCATATGGGAGGCTCGCTGCGTGGTCGGTGCTCGGTAGATGCAAGAGGCGCCGGTGGAGGCCTAAGGGGAGACACGCGGGCTACTAGAGGAGGTTGTGGCGTGTGGGAGGCCGCTGCTCGTTGTGGTTGGAGGAGGCTAGCGGCTAGGTTATTTTTTAGGAAAGATAGTGAACGAGTAGTCGCCCTTTGTAGGAGAAAAAGGGGGCTTTTATACTAGCTTTTTAGGGTTTTTAGCAAAAATCTGTTTTGGTCCCTC